CTGCTACTACAATTATTAAAACCTTATTTTTAAGGAGAAGCATTCAACATTTCTTAAATGTTTTAATTGTAATATTAAATTACCTTTATTTTCCAAAAAATTAAATTTGTTTAATTTTCATTACTTAAAAGATAGATTAAATGAATGTTTTATGCCTTAAAACAAAATGTAAATACACAACACAGAATTTCTGATCAAAAAAATCATAAGGCTATTGTAAGAATAAATGAAACTTAATGTTTTATGCTTTCAAATTAGACATGCTAAAACAGAATTTGGTAACAATAAAACATTAGGTTGGAAAAAATAAAACATTTCATAGGGCCCTAAACGTAATATTTGTTAAACTTTTAATAATTTGATGTTAAATTGTTTAAGTTTCATGATTGTAATTAATTAGACATGCTTTTTAATTAATAAAATGTAATTTACCCATTAAAAAGGAGTCCAGAGAAGAAGAAAAAAACGGAATCTACTCACAAATTAGAGCAGAAGGATCAAATGTGTGATGGTTCTCATTTTTAAAGTTAAAGCAGCAGTATGAAACTTTCTGCGTTCTAAATTTGCTAAATGTATATAATGAGCGATTACATCATGAATTCATCTTCCAAACCGTGTTTTTGTCTGGTTCCGAATCACTACGGTACTCTTATAATAAGTACTTATATTTGGACTATTGCAGCCTGGTCACCGGACAAACACATTTCATTACACACAATACTGTTCTTTTCAGCAGCATCATACGACCCCTTTAACCGCTAGAGCGCCAAAAGTTACACAGTGCTGCTTTCAGAGTCAAATCTCTTACCTGGACGAGGATTCGGACACCTGCTGTCCATAGCCTTCAACGCCACCAGAAGAGTAGCCCTGAGACGACTGGCCGTAGCTCTCTCCTTCAGGAGAACACACCAGTTACACAGCACCCACCACTAACAGACATTCACCAAATCATCTGTCAACCACTTACCTCCAGTCTGTCCATAAGCAGCGTAACTCTGTCCAGCGTAAGAGCTGCTGCCATTACCCTGCTGGAGAGAGAGAGAACATCACTAACACACACAACCAGCGCTATAATGATGCACATCAGCAACAGTAATCTAATACAGCGTCACCTGTCCAGCTTGATAGCCCTGGGACCCAGCTAAAGAGCCGTAGCTGCACAAATAAACAAGAGGAGGTAGAAAAATTACACATCTTGAAACAAATCAATGCACACAAAAAAAGTGGCACTGCATTTTTGTACCAATAGATATTTACATCCATTATTTTGTACGTAACGTATATAGATTATAATCGGTCGCTTAGTTACCTTTGTTGAGCGCCAGGCTGGCCGTAGCCTGAATCTGCGAACAGAAATAAACGGTTTAGTCAGAATACATGGTGTAAACAGCACAGCGCAATGCTAAGCTAACGGTCACACCACGCCGCACTATGAGCAACGGTCGCTAACCGCTCCTCCGCGGCAGATTTACACATCCAAACAGCTCGTTCTGGAGAATTAAACACAATTACACATCATTTAACCGCCTTGTGTTGTTGTTGCTGTTCTGTCGTGAGTGTGGTTTGATCTTCAAACCCTGGAACCCCCCGCGTCGTCGGTTTAGCCGCTAACGTTAATGCTAAGCGCGCTGATCAACTCTCAAACTGAACAGAGCGAATAACGAGCATTACTGCGAGGTGGGCTACAGTACAGCACATAGCTTTACCTGAGGCCATCTTTCTGACGGAGATAAAATGACCACCTGCTCCAAAACACACAGATTAAAAACCCGGCACGAGCGGAACACGCACTGCACACTTCTTATGAACTTTGACCCGAGGCCGGACGGTACCATCTACTTAGCGGGAGGGAGCGCGAGGATGCATCCGGCGCTTATAACAACATAAATAGAGCAGCACAGTGTATCACGCATAGTCTACGGAGGAACTAATAATAGAGAAAACGCGACGCGCGCTGAAATGAGAACTGTGTTTGCACGAAGACCCCTGTCTGGTAGAAAGTGGTATCAACTCAGCGCCTTTTCTGTCACGTGCCCGCCACAGCAGCGTTCCATTTTAACTGTGGCAACGTTGCTGATCACCTACAAACTGTGCTATTTATTTATTGTGCTATTGTTTGTAATGTGTTCATTTGTTTCCCTTATATTTAACTAATCTACATTTTTGCCATACACTTATTTATGAGAATACAAGATAAGGATCAAAACAGCTATTTTATTTTTTGTGGCAGGGCCAGTGAAAGTGTTGGCTGGGCAAGAAAAGAGTAATATATTATACATACTGTACATATTGTCAGTAATATGATACATTGTCAAAATGCTCACATTAGCCTTTCTCCTAACCAGACCTGGTGCATGTTTAAGGGTCTCTGCTATCTGGCTTTCAGCATCCATGCTAGTAGACCCAGGCTGTGATTTCATTATTGCCCCTAAATGGTTTAAGTAAAGTTTTTAGAGATGAACAAGTATACTTTACATTTGAACGAACAGGTATTCTTCCCATTTGGGTGGCCAATCATGTAGAATTCTGTCACTATAATGCAAATCAAAGATAATTGAAAATACAATAGAATATTCAATCAAATAAATGCAAATACTGTTGATTTTTTTATACTTGTTAGAACTCGATAAACAGCGAGTTCTTCAAGTCTCCTCTTCCCCTTCCTTCCTTTGAGGCTAAACTGTGACCAAACGTCTGAGGAAGGGATTTTTCTCATGACTCGCCGCACTGTCTCTCCATAGTTTGGTCCTCCGATTGTCGAAAGGTATTTAACCTGAATTTAATTTAAATGGAATTGTCAAATCCTATGCATACACACAGAACAGTTCAGCTGCAAATAAGAATGTCAAATGCTAAACCGTTTTTCTTTGGCGCTCTTCGTCCACCCTCAGCTTATCCTCAAAGGAGAGCAAGTCAGGGAACTGACCAATAGATGGGACAGGGTTCTCTGGCCCTGTGTCTTCCTCTCTTGTCTGCAGTAGCCGCCGAAGCAAGAGAGAATGCTCTTCCTGTTTTGCAATTATTTTATCTAGTTTCATGAGGACATTTAACTGGATGTTGGTTTGATATTTTAGATATATAAAAAAATTATACAAAAAGGTTTATGTAGAATATAAAACCTCTTATAAATATTATGGAGTTATTAATATTACTTAACTGTTATTTGATGTACAATTTTGCCCATCTGAATTGAAGTCATCTGAAAACCGAGCAAGTATAAAAATATTTTTTTTTAAACATACAGTACACATACAAAGAATATTTACTTAAAGGGATACTCCACTCAAAAATGAAAAAAGACTCATGACTTAGTTTTTTCTAATGAACAGAAATGCTTCAAAAACAAACATGATGGTTATCTATATGACCCCAGTTGATGAATCATTGTGTCCTGAAGCAAAACACTTGCAATAAGTAGCGGTCCTGTATGCTTGCATCACTTCTCACACAAGTTTTACGATGCAACTTACAGCAATGGTTTATAGTTTAAGTTTACAATACTAGTATTTTTCTCACATATGCTTATCAATTTGCTTCAGAACACACTGATTCATCAACTGGGGTCATATGGATCAACGTTGTGTTTGTTTAGTGTGTTTTTTCACAAATCAACTTTGGCGTCCTAATTATTTGCTTTATATAGACTCACAGAGGTCGCTTATTTTTCTAAAAATCTCAGTTTGTGTTCCACAGAAGGGAGACATAAAGTCATAAATGCAACCCCAAATCAGAAAAAGTTGGGATGTGTTTTAAAATGCCATGAAATTGAGAATCTGTGGTTTGTTAATTCTCTTTGTCTTTTATTTAATTTACAAAAGTACAAAGAAAAGACTTACACCGCTTTCACTGACCAACTTAAATGCATTTAGTAAAAACAAAGCAATTGTGATTTTGATGGCTGCAATACACTTCCAAAAAGTTGAGACAGGCAAAGTAAACATGACAGAATATAGATTAAACTGTTTTGAAACAGTTCACAGGCAGGTCGTTTGGTAATAGGTGAGGGTATCATGTTTGGGTATAAAAGGAGCATCTTAGTCTTTGCAAGCAAAGCTGGATCATGGCTTATCACAAATTTCTAAATTTGTTTATATTTACAAAATACAATTAATCTGGTCAGTAAACACATTGTAAATCTTTTCTTTGTACTTGCAGGAATTCTGCAGCAAGACCTTTTAACTAAACTAAACAGATTTTAATTTTCACAGACTTGATTTTAAATTTTATTGCATTTTACAAAACGTCCCCATTTCAGATTGGATTTGTACATCTGGGATGGCAGGAGGTTGAGTAAATAATGTGAAAATACATTTTTTGGATGGAGTACCCAATTTAACATTACTTACAATTTTGTCTTTGGGTATCTGTCCAGCTTCCATTGTCACTGGCTGTCCAGGCTGATTCTAGGCAAAAAAGTTTAAATTTGTATGCAAAAAAAAATAATTTATTCATCAGGCCTCACAATAGCACTTTATAAATGTTGAGGCTTTCAAAATGGACTTTAAGCCACTAGTGCTCTATCATGATCAAATTTTGCATCAAAGATAAAAAGTAACATACCATGTTGGTGTTGATCCACACTTGAATTATGTTCATGACTCCATTCTTGCATTCTTGGTGCTACAAAAGAGACATTATTGTGATTATCTCTTATAAACATTTAACTTATATTTGCATATGCAAGTACATTTATTTTAAGTTTGATAAGACAAATGCTGCTTTCACACATTAAACACGGTAACTGCTGTAAAATTGCCAGATTGCCATTTCCAGTAATTGTACCATATCTGCGGTTCACACAAGCAACACATTTTCTTTTCTTCTTTTTACCATTTTACAATTTTCAATAAAATATATATAAATAAATAACAGCAAGAAAGAAAGAAAGAAAGACGTGGGAAAACATTACCTAAATGTTGTGGCATCATTGACTGAGTGGTATGTACAGCTGATCTGTAGCCCCCTGGCATCTCTGGATCAATGGCATATTAATAAAATTACATCAGCACTAAAATACTGATACATTTTGTGATGTTTATCATTATCATCAGTTATGTCCATCAGAAGGTTTGACTGATTCAAAACAGACTTTTTAATTTGTTCAAGCAAGCATCAAAACAGTAATTCACAGTAAAGTAAAGATTCATATCATTGTAATAATACCTTTGTTATAAACAAATGACAACAATATGAATTGTTTACTGTAAAAAAAATTTAAAAAAAAATTTGGGTGTGGCCCACAATGGTTTACAAATTAAAAAATAAAATGTTCTTGTACTTTTGGATGAGTTCCTTCTTGGTTCCATTGTTCTCGGTGGAGAGGGAAGGGTTGGTATTTTTGCTGGTGGCCTGGTGTTGATATTACCTAAAACAATTGTATTAAATTTAAGTTTTTATCATTTAATTACTTTATAAACCAAACAAGAAATGTGAATTCATATACATACTGTCTTCAATATCTGTGATATCACTATCTGACTCTAAAAGGTGTAAAGGTGGTCTCTTCAGCCTGGTTGGCCTTTTCTCAGTGATGGAGGCGTCTGAGAGTTCAGGACACGAGGTGATTTGAGCTTTTCTCATGAGCTTTTGGGCTGTCGTGTAGTCAACTAAAGAAAAAAATCATTTTTTGAGTTGGCATGAAAGGTACAACAATGTATCCAAGTATCCACCTTATTTTACCCATAAGAGCTGTCGTGGCCATTTGTAAATTTAATGTGTCTGGCTTCTGGTCTCATCCACTTCCAGCTGATTTTTATCTGTACAAATCAGCTTGCGTCGCTGCATAATATTGCAAACTTGTGTTTCTTACCTTAATGTATTGACTTAACCAAATTGTCAACAATTTCTTCATAACACCAAGACATGCCTGGTGCATGTAATCAACGGGAAACTGGCCAATCATATCAACTGGTAACTCGGTCAAAGGTGTTCTTCCATTATGATGTTCTGGTTGGGTTTGAGCTCTAAATGAATGATCTGTTCTTACTTCAAACCCATCAACTTCTTGATAAGTCATTCTTCCTTCCCAGAATCCTTTGGAGTTTGCAGTGTGAAGGATACTGATATCAAATAGCGCATCTGTTTGCCATAGCGACGGGTCATGACGTCATGCGCCGACGGGGTTGTTTTGTTTTGTTTTACGCAGAGCCGGCGCAGTGTTTTTGGGGGGTTTAGATCATGGTTTTTTGTTTGTTTTTGCTTATAATGTGTGCAAATCGTGTGTATTAAACTTCAGCACCACTTACTCAGAAAAATAAAATAAAATTGAAATGAAGAGCCACAATGTGAAATGGAACCTCGAGTAGGCTATGTATACAGTGACCCTGGAGCACAAAAGCAGTCTTAAGGGTCAATTTTCTGAAATTGAGATTTATGCATCATCTGAAAGCTGAATAAATAAGCTCTCCATTGATGTGTGGTTTGTTAGGTTCGGACAATATTTGAAAATCTGGAATCTGAGGGTGCAAAAAAATCTAAATATTGAGAAAATCATCTTTAAAGTTGTTCAAATGAAGTTCTTAGCAATGCATAATACTAATCAAAAATTAAGTTTTGATATATTTACGGTAGGACATTTACTAAATATCTTCATGGAACATGATCTTTACTTAATATCCTAATGATTTTTGGCATAAAAGAGAAATGTATAATTGTGACCCATACAGTTTATTGTTGGCTATTGCTACAAATATCCCCCAGCGACTTAACACTGCCTCCAGGGTCACATACATATTTAGTAATCCTCATTTGCTCACCAGAAACAGTTGGAAGACACACAGAGAAATGTCCAGCAGAGAAGAGAGAAAGAGCTTCAGAAGCTGAAAGAGGCTGTGGAGACTCGTA